GAAACCGGAAACGTCCATATGCAAAAATATACATCACTGAACCATGATTCGCTCTGAAAACATTCAACAAAGCTATGTTTCTCCCCAAAGCCCATATGCTACCTTGTCCAGCTTTCCCCAAATTTAGCTCCCCAGATTAATTTAATTCTTTAATGGTACTGCATGATTGCAACAAAATCTCTATAAACAACTTACAATCAATTTTAAAATTATAAATGAAAACAGTTAAAAGCAATTAATTATAAACATTTTTAAAAAGAAATTGAAATAAGCAATAAACTAAAAAGAGATGCTAACACACTTGTGTCTGGATAGGCTTTCCTGAACAAAAATGTTGTAAGCAGGTGCTGAAAAGGAGACAGTGAAAATGCCTGCCTGATGTCAATAGGCAGGGAGTTCCAAAGTGTTGGAACAAGTATTGTGGGGCTTCTGTTCTGCGGAACGGACACTGTTACAAAGTGGTCAAGCAGGCACATACAGGACAAGGTGATCCCTCAAGTAAAATGGTCTCAAGCTGTTTAGGGCTTTATATACAGCAAATGGGTAACCAGTGCAGATCTTTGAACAGAGGTGTTGTATGTAGACACGGTCTTGCTCTGCTCAGCATCTTGTGTTGCAGCATTCTGCACTAACTGCAGTTGCTGGATCATTTAATGTTGCTGTTATTTATTCATTGTAGATGTTGTTGGGTTGTGTTTGTGTGTGTGTGATTGCAGATGTTGGACTGCAACTCTCATTATTCCTGTCTATTGGCCACACACCTGGGGAACATCATGGGGCTGGAACAACTCCTCTGTGAGGAATGTTCACAACATCTGGGGCTTTTTAGCTCAGAAAAACTGTGAGGAAGAGAAGAGACACAGTGGAAGAACATAAAGTATGCATGCTGTGAGTCAGGGAGGAGGCTGTCTTGCATAATACTGGAACCAGTGTCAATAATGAAGCTGATTGTTCGATTAATGTCTTACTTCATACAGCAGGTAGTTACTCTATGAAATCCCACCCCCCATTACAGGATATAACGAGGGCTGCCAAATTGGGCAGCTTTGAAGAGAGAGTAGAGATATTCATATAGGATCAGGCTATCAGAGGCTCCTGGTTATGATGGCTATACATTACCTCCAAGGTCAGAGTCAGCTGGGGAGCAGTGATTGAGGTCATGGCCTGCTTATGGGCTTTCCATAGGTGCATCTGGTTGGCCACTGGGAGAAACAAAAGGATGCTGGACTAGGTGGGCCTCAGATCTAGTCAGGCTCTTGTTATGTTCTTAGTTGTGCTCAGAGGCAAGTATCCCAGAATAAATGACTGCAAAGCCTTTTCTCATAAATTGCTCTAGAGCAATTGATTTCAGATTACGATAAGAGAGGAGATTCTTCCGGGATGTTTGCCAGTTCTCTGTAAACAATGTTTCAGAGAGGGTGATCATTGCGAGAGAAGGCTAGGCCCCAGTTATTTGTGGTTTTGAGGAATGAGAGGCTTATTGTAGCAAGGCTTTGGCAAATTGCGACTGATCTCCATTTCCCTCTAAAATTTGGAGTGGGAGCTAGTGTGGATATGGCACTTTCAGAGATTTTCCTGCTGTGGAATATCACAACATCTGCTTCTGTGATTTGGTGGGGAGGAATGCCTTTTGCAATTTCTAATAATAAAACTAGCAGTGTAATCTTTGGTGAGTTCCCACGTTAAGTATTACATGTGAAGTGCTTTGAAATATTGGCTAAGATTCTGCCAATGGCCTACGCCTTCATTTGATAAATGAGGAGTATATCAGCTCCTGGTAAAAAACAAGAACATGGCCTGTAAGGCCTCTTTGATAGCTCTTTCATCATATTTTCTTCCCCACCTGGAGTATGATATTGCCATCAAAACTGTGAAACAGAGGTTATGGGATATTGCCTTTAGTGATTTACGATCTCGCTCACATGTGACTTGTGGCCCATCTGTGTCATGAATCCAATATCAGCAGGGTTTTTTGTTATCTCCCTCCCTACTTTAAGAATTTGACCGTATTTACCAAGATTCTTGGGGGGAAGTCATGACTGTTAAAGTGGTACACAAATGCTTTAAGTGGTATGCTTTTGAACTGCTAGGTTGGCAGGAGCTGGGACCAAGCAACGGGTGCTCACCCCATTGCAAGGATTTGAACCGCCAACCTTCTGATCGGCAGGCCCAAGAGGCTCAGTGGTTTAGACCACAGCGCCACCCGTGTCCCTAGACAGGTCAGATAGCATCTAATCAATCCTAAACAACCTGGAATTGCTGACTCTTTTCTTGTCAGGGTTCTCCTTGAGGATAAGATTGATACTATTAAACTGGCTGTAACAAAATTCCTCTCGGAGGCAGTAAAAATCAGAAATCAGTATGTACAGGCTAAAGCTTCTCTGTTGGCTAGCAAGGTCAATCTTACATCTTAACAACTGTTGATATATACTATTGTTGTACTGTGTATTGTGGGTCTATAGACCACAATAAAGCTTTGTGTGTGTATTACACCACTCTTGTGAGTAGACCACTAAGCTGAGCTACTACTAGGGTGAGATAGCTGCACTAATATTCACACTGTTTTGCAAAATGAAAGCTTCTGCAAAACTGGAATTCCGTAGGAGTTTATGCCCTGTGGACATGCAAAGTGCTATAGAACATGCAGGCTGTCTGGGTCAAGGAAGGGAGAATATGGCTCTGCTCCCTCTCCACCTTAATTTTGATAGGTCAGAAAAACCCCCACGTTTCCATATTTATAGTGATTTTTCTTAAGTGCTCAGGGTATATTTACAACAACCCTTGATGCAGGCCAGTTCATTCTCTTGGCCACTGTACTTCTATACCTCTAAGGTCAAAACTGCACCTTGATTACCATCACACCAATCTTGATTCTTAACGCATTGTATTTTAGTTACCATCATTTCTCCCACCACTGCTTTATAGATCTAGGGTGCTCTACATTCAGTTCCTGAAGCCCAGGCAGATTATTGCATTTTCCAAAGCATTAATATGATTCTGAAAATATGTATTATTAAAACAGGTAACAGAGAAATTTGAAATTCCACACTCCATCCCTGTCTTTATTTGAATTGATGCACTTATAAATCCTTATTGCAAGCTTTCAAGTTTATTGATAGTCCTAATCCTTAAACATAAAGGATTGCAAAATGGTATCCTCATTCCTTCCTAAGATGTCATGCTGCTACCGCAGGTTAGCTGGTTCCTTACATCTGTTTTTTTCCCTCTGAGAGCTTGAAGTAACCATTTTGTGAGTTTATACGCAGCATAGGCATTTGCTGTAGCTCAGCAGAGATTGATTACATGTTCAATGATTCCAATGTAATAATCAAATAAATTAAAAAATTGTCCAGTAGCACCTTAGAGACCAACTATGTTTGTTCTGGGTATAAACTTTCGTCTGCATGCACACTTCTTCAGATAACAGAAAGCTTATACCCAGAACAAACTTAGTTGGTCTCTAAGGTGCTACTGGGACTATTTATTTATTTATTTATTTAGACTGCGCCAGACCAACACGGCTACCTACCTGAATGTAATAATCATCACAGAACTTCTTGTCTACTACACATTACCCTATTAGACCCTGTTGGCCACATTTGCCTAAGTTATTAGAGAGCTGGATTCAAAACCTATTTAGATCAACTGGATGGACTGGGGTAACCATGGTTCCCTCAGATGTTATTGGACTACAACTCTCAACATTGCTGACCATTGGCCATGCTGGCGAGGGCTGATGGGAGGGAATTGCAGTCCAACACCATTGCTCTGACTTAAGGTGCCTTTATAAATAACAATAACCTGAAAGAACATAGTTGTCTTTTAAAATAACAAAAATAATAACTGAATGCACATTCATCAGCCAGCATAGATTTTGGCCAGATTAATTTATTACATAAAAACCAAAGCAAAAAGACAAAGGCCAAAATAGTTTCCAACTGGAACCCATTTTTTGAATACTGTGAATACAGTTCAGTGCATTGTTTTGAACTTGAACGTAAGTTGACTTAAAAAAATCAGGATAAAATATGTATGTTGTAGTTGTGCAATGATTTTTTTTTGTTATTTATGTTATAAAGTGTGATTTAAAAACAAAGATGCAAAGAATTGACAGGTGTAGGGAACATGAAATGTGATTTAATTTGATAAATTGGTCTCTGAGTAAGTTGGTTTGTAGTGCTTTTCACCCACTTGCAAATATGGTTGGCACTTCCAAAACATCTGCCATATAGCTTCCTTTACAAGTTTTAAACCTATGTAAGAGAGCATTTGCAAAAAAGGCAGAAGAGTAAACTAAATTCCTCCTGTAATCACCAACAGAACTGTTGTCTCTTGTACTGGGACTTCTCGAGATTGGCTGAGGACTCCTGCAAAAGCAAGTCCTTGAACTCCAGATTTCATAGTTCTGTATTCTCCCTTTGCCTGGAAGATAAGGAAGCCTTGAGGTTGGTGCCATAGTGGCGTGAGAAAGGGCCAGCTAACAGCCCCCAGAGACAGAGACCTTCTGCAGTCCCATGCTTGTGCTGACAGGCGAGATTTGGCTCAGGCAGTATTTGGAGATAAAGGGAACGGGAGGTGGGGTTTGTGGGGTTGCCACTGTTAATACCCCTGTATGTTAGGCTTAGGGAAGTAATACTGGCAAATATTTGCATGCGAACACCAGGGAATCCCAATCGTACTCCGTGTTCTGGAGCCCATGGACTTCAGAAGTGGGGAAAAAAGTATTTAAATCAGGCATTAGTACTTAATACTTAAGACAGGTCTGGGACAATCCTGATAGTCATGAAGCCACAGTTTTTCCTGTGACATTTCTGGTCATGACTAGACTGGTGTAAGATCCCATACAAGCATAACCACTGTTGAGATGGACAGAAAAGGATGGGAAAAGACATGTAAGCAATGTACAAATAAATGAATTTCAGTGAAATGATATTCCATTTTTGCCATTCTCTGTCCCCACCCTGCCCCAAAGTGCTTGCTTGGAATGAATTTAATAATAGGCCGTAGCTTAGAGGTACAGCATCTGCCTTCTGTTCAGAAGGCCCCAGATTCAATTCTTGGCAACTCCCACTATTACTGGATATGCCCCCTGCCTGAAACTCTGGAGAGCTGCTGCCAGTCAGTGTGGGCAAAGCTGACCTAGATGAACCAATAGCCTGAGCCTGGATAAAGCAGCTTTCTATGTTCTGGCAAGAGGGGCAATAGACTGGTGAGGGAACTTCTCTGTTTGGTCTAGCTGATCACTGAGGAGATATGAGTGTTCACTCTTTGGTGGCAGGCTGCTATAGGAAGATAGATACGGAGGCTTGTTTGATTGTTCGTAAGCATGTATGGTAAGCAGCTCAGAAGGGGTACTGGATAAGGCCACAAGAGGCATTGGGGCCAACTCATTTGTTCTGAGCCACAGTTGCCTATGAGAAGGAGCCAGTGTGTTTTGCAAAAGAGAAGACCAGCATGCTGTTGCAGTTCTGTGCCCCTTCCCCAATTTGAGGTTATCTACACTGGAAGTTGCTAGAGCACCAGAATGGTTAGGCACCCTGTAGAGCCCCAGTCAGCAATTAATTTTAAGCAGGGGTCATACATGGAATTGAAGTGTCAGCCACATGAGCTCTGTTCAATAAATTGTTCATTGGTTTAACTGAAACAAAGGCTTTGGTGGAGTGATTTTTTCATAGTTCAGCTTGGTTTCTCACCCCAGGACACAGATGGCTCTTTAACCCTGTTTTTCAAGGGGGAAGAGCTCTTGTGGCTCTGCAGCCATTGCAGTTGCTTCCTGGGCTTGTGGAGAGGGTGAGGGGCTCAGGTGTATAAGGAAGGAATTCTGAGGTTTAGAAATGGACAGCTTGCCCCAAGCTCTGGCTCTCCAGGTGGCCATTGTGTCAGGGTTAATGCTAGTGCAGGTGTCACACTTTTATGTCCACCCAGTAGCAAAGGACAAAGGACACGATGCATCTGCATAAATGAGAGATCGCACAGCAACCCCAACAGTGTTAGGTTGGGACTTTTTAGTTTGTGAGGAAAAGGAAGTGAGCATTGGTGGCAGGGAATAATATTTTTTTTCTCCTCCTCTTTCAAGATTCCTGAATTGCAGGGGGTTGGACTAGATTGCCCTCGTGGTCCCTTCCAGCTCTACAATTCTATGATTCTAAGTACTAGAACTCAGGCTTACCCAGTGAGGCTGACAGGTGGCATAGTCAGGACAGACGAAAGTGCTTACTGTTGTTTGTAGTTTAAATCCTGCTTGCAAGTTCAGGTAATCTGAAAAAGGCTTCCATTTTTCCATAAAACAATCGTCATTAGGTTTTCTTATTTTGGCTGTTAACTTTGCTAATTCCGCGTAGTCCAACACTTTACCTATCCATTCTGCTTTGGTGGCAACTTCTTCTTTCTTCCATTCATGTACATAGAGAATCCTAGCTGTTGTTACATACATAAACAGTTTAATCATCTGTTTTGGAACTGTTGTCCCTATAATCCCTAAGAGAAAAGTTCTAGGGTTGTTGTTTTTTGTATAATCACTTTAAATGTCTTTTCTATCTCATCATATATCATATCCCAAAGTACCCTCGCTTTGTTACAAGTCCACCACATATGAAAAAGGATCAATCTACTTGTTCACACTTCCAGCGATTATTAGGAACCACCTTACACATTTTAGACAATTTGTTAGGTGTTAGATACCATATATACATCATTTTCATATAGTTTTCTTTTAAGGCACAGCAAGCAGTAAATTTCCCATGATAGCAAGCAAACAGTCCCCTGATCTGATCGGGGTCCCATGTAGCTGCTTTACCCTCAAAATTAAAGTGGTCAGTTCAAGCACATCTTAAACTGGTGCCCTCCAGATGTTGTTGGACTACAACTCCCATCTTTCTTCTTTTTCTTCTTTGGCGATCACTCGTAGCCGAGTAAGGTTGTCTTCCATGAACACGGTCTTAATCGTGAGTCCGTAACTGACTGTGGAGGCCAACTCTGGAGCCACACATACTTTAACAGTGGGGACATAGGTTTCCGGACAGGAGTTGATCATGATGAGGGTTTGCCAAACGTGCCTTCTTCTTAGCTCGTTTCTCCTTTTCGCCCTGAGTTTGTGCTTCTTCAAAGTCCATGACACCTTTGGAGTGCTCACAAGCCAGTGTTTTCCAGTTATCAGTGCTTATACATTTTTTAAAGATTTGCATAGAGAGCGTCTTTAAACCTCTTTCATTGTCCACTGGTATTTCGCTTTCCATTCTTAAGCTGGGAATAGAGTAGTTGTTTTGGAAGACGATAATCAAGCATCTGAACAACATGACCAGTCCAACCAAGTTGATGTTGAAGAATCATTGCTTTGACACTGGTGAGCTTTGCTTCTTCCAGTACACTGACATTTGTTCACCTGTCTTCCCAAGTGATGTGTGCATTTTTTTTGGAGACACTGTTAATGGAATATTTCGAGGAGTTGGAGATGGTGTTTATAAATGGTCTATGTTTCATAAGCGTGCAGTAAAGTTGGTAGTACAATAGCTTTATTAACAAGCATTTGGGTTTCCCTGCGAATGTCCCAGTCCTCAAACGCTCTGTGCTTCAATCGGGAGAAAGCTGCACGCACAGAGCTCAGGCAATGCTGGATTTCAGCATCAGTATCGGTCCTTGTGGAAAGAGAACTGCCCGGGTAGGAAAGGTGATTGACATTTTCCAACTCCCATCATCTGTTGCCATTGGCCACACTGGCATCTGGATAGCACCGGGTTGGGGAGGCTGCAATAAACCATCACATGGAGTTAATGGCTCTGACTTAAGTGTCACTTAATGGAAACGTTTTGTGATGTCAAATCTATAACCACCGCAGGCAAACTGTTGTAAACAGAATGGAGTCTTCTGCTTCTTCTTGCCCCTTGAATTTCATAGCTGGTTAGAGTCTCCCAGCTCTTGGTCCAGACTTTCTTATCTTCTCAGTTGTTACCTTCCCAGTTTTATTTGTCTTTGGGTTCCAGCCAAATCAATTAAAGGACATATATTTATGGGCAAAAGAACAGCTACTTTTAAAGTGGTTTTCTAAGGTTAAAAATTCCTGTCTAATCCAGCCTTTTGGAGTGTACCACAAGCTAGTCACAAAAAATAAAACTAGCTTGTTTATTAGCTTCTTCAAGAAATAAAGTGGCTTGTTAACGATGCTTGCCCCAGTTGTGATTAAGTGGTTGATCAATGGGTCCTTTACTGTGTGGTGGACCACTTTGACTGATAGGCTGGGTCACTCCATGACCCCCCTCCCATGGACTGTAAATGATCCTCCTTAATTAACCCTCTATTTGAAGCTGCTGACGGGAATTGACTTTTTTGAAAACAAGTCTTAAGGTTGGTAGTGCAGTGGTGGTGGGGAGCATGTAAGAGCCCTGCTGGATTATACCAAAGGCCCATCTAGTCCTGCGTTCTGTCTTCACAATGGCCAACCAGAAATGTAAGGGAAATACACAAGCAGGTATGAGTACATGTGAATTCAAATCCATTTTGTAATGTAGAGACTGAGATGAAAAAAATGCACAATTTAACTGAGCATGACAATAGCAGAATCAGGAACAGAACATAGCTAGTTGATATTTGTCTAAGAACCTCACAGTGGGATTCTTGGCCTGAGCAAGTATTGGAATGTAGGTCTCTTGTAGCCCAACACTGTACCCACTGAGATACAGCATTTTTGTGTGTGTTTTATTTTAAGAGCCATTGTGGTGCAGCATTGCACTAGAATATGGGAGACCAGGGTTCCAATCCCCACGTAACCATAAAGCTGCCTGTGTGACAATGAGCCAGTCACTGAGAAGAAGATGATAGAATCATAGAACTGTAGTGTTGGAAGATACCCTGAGGGTCATCTACTCCAGCCTCCTGCAGTCCAGATGTGGAAAGGGAGAGCTAGGTATACAACCTTGAACTACTTGGAGGAAAACTATGCATGCTCCTATGCAAACAGATACAGAGTCATGAGTATGTGGTGGGGTTTTTTGCATGCCTGAGTGAGCACCACCTCACACTTGAGAGGCTTTGTTTCTGGCTCCTCGTATTCCTATTAATTCTGGTCCTTGGTGTATGCTTATCTTCTCCTATAACGGTTACGATTTTTCCCATTTCCAGGTCCACAGAGCAAAGTGTCCCGATGCCATCCTAATGAACACAGCTGCCTGGGCACTGACCTTTGCATCCACATGTCCAAGCTATGCAATGGCAAACGCGACTGTGTGGATGGTTCAGATGAAGGGCCCCACTGCCAAGGTAAGCTGTTTCCCTGTCTCACCTGATGCTGTGCAGAAGCTGTTACTGGTGGAGAAGCCCTGGGTGCAGCGAAGGCCAGTGTCATCCAGGGTATAGTCTGAAGGTACACTTAGCCACAGTTTAGTAGATTTGGACTTGGGTGGATGGGAGCCCCATGAATGTTGCCTTGGTTTCCTTGATAGAAAAGAAGTTAGAGATGAATGCAGGCGCTGCTGGGAGCAAAGGGGGTGTGTGGATTCTACTGACTGGAGTGCTGACTGCTGAACAGCTGAATTGCCATGTTACAGCAAAAGGACTGTTGCAGTCTAGATTGTATTAATAAGGGAATGATGAGTAAGAGTTGTGGTTGTTAGTGGAATAGTAAGTAATTACAGAAGCATAATGAACAGGAACTAGATATATTGACAGATGCACTCTAAGGAAAGGTGGGTATAGATTTTAATCAGAACACTAAGCTTAATTTTTGGAATTAATGTTAGTGAGGCCATAGGTCTACGAGTTGCAAAGCAGTATAGTGTTAATTTCTCATATTAGTGCCTTACATCTATCCTACATTTCCTTTATTTTAGTCATTATCAAATAGAAATGTGGTAAATGATTAACAGCCTACAGCAATTAGTTTTCAAGCTGCAGACTGGAACCTCACATTATCTGGTTATTTCATTTTTTTAATGCACTGACCACTGCTTCTTCTGTGCAAAATAGCATTGTGAGGGAGCAATCTTTAGCGGATAAACATCAGAACAGGCACCTTTGTCCTGTCTTCCATTGCGCCCCCTTGCGAATTCCCCCTCCTCACTGCCTCAGAATTTCAGAC